CGGTCTGCGCTCTATTCTGTTGAATACATTTTTGGAATTGCAGATTATCGGAGGAGGAAAAAAGTTGTCGGCTTGACCTCTGGAGGAGGGACACAGCCGGCTGGCGCATCGCAGGGAATCACGGTATACAGACAGAGAGAGAGGGCGGGCACCGTTTTGTCTTGTACAAGGAGGAACACTCGTGGCCCACCTTCGGTCACATCCATCACCCTCGATACCAATGGGAAGAGAAACACGCTGCAGTATCCGCATGGGAACAAATCGGAGATGTTTTTCGTGCGGCAATGGTATTCGCCACTGAATCCTCACTGCAACAGAACGCGCGACGATGCTTGTGTCAGTCTATGTAATGACATGTCTGTTGGGTGTGTCTTGTTTTGGGTATCTTTCAATGTTCAGGTTGTTGGTGGACGAAGTGATTTTTCTCAGTTTTGGGGACGCAACATGGGGTAATCAGAAATAGAAGTACAGTTATACATTTGTCTTTACTGGTCGTTAACGGTGGGTCTCCCACACTTTCTACGGTTTTCCTAGACAACCCGTGGGACTCCCATGACTCACCCATGGGCCAACCATTGGTGGCCATTGAGCAACAAAGTACCCATGGGTGACCCATGGGCATGCCAATGGAAGCCCTTCAACCGAACCAGTGCACTCTTAAAATATTGATCAGTCTGTCTGCTTTGGAACGGGCACTATCACGGCCAACAACCCTAAAGCTAAACCGAGCCCTAACCCCAAGCCCACACGGTATGTGTTAGGTTGGCGCTGGTGGCTAAGTTCTAGGTTGATGAGAAGGTGGCTAAGTTCTTGGTTGATATGCCGGTCGCGAGTTCTAGGTTGAAGTGGCCACGGTGGGCACTTGATGGGCCCATGTAGAACCCATGGGCGGCCCATAGGTGACCCATTGGATGGGTGTCCCATGGGCGGTTTCCAAAACCGTCTGTAGTGTGGGAGATTGTTTGCGGTGGGGGCTGTTCGGGTGTTCTTTGCCCTTCTGTTTCCAGGTGGCTGGTAGACTTTGAGAGTCTTTCATGTTCTTTGGAGCAGCTGCAACATTCTTTCCAGCACAGCCGTAGAAGGTAGAACAGTGAAGAACACCTTGCATGGTCACAGGTAACCGTATACAGCAGTTTCGAAAACGCACGTCTGTACTCCGAGGTTGCGCTTGCTTGCTGCACGCGACGGAGGAACAACAACCCCGAGAGAAGAGCCCGAACCGCTGAGTAAAGTGGGTAGGCCATTCAAGTACTGTAGCAATCTAAGAGGTGTGGGACGCCGTTGTGGCTCGAATCGTTGCTGATTGATGGTGCAGAGATGAAGCTGTCTGTCTGTCGGTCCTATTTGCCCTCTCTTCTACTCAAGACAACACCCGCCCCCTGCTGGTTGGTTTTCTTTTTTCTACTTCCATCGACTCCTACGTATTGTACCGCTGTGCCGCTGCCGCTGTTCTATACTCCTGCTCGGATTTTGGCTGCTCATATTGCATTATTTCACCTCCTTGCTGGCTCTCGCCCTTCGCGAGGCACAGGCAAGAAACGCTTTAGCACCCACAACCCGCGGAACACCTGCACGGAGTTAAACGATGAACTGAACAAGGACGATGTTGTATAAACGAACGTAGAAGATATCTATGGTGGCGGCAATAGGTCTGCACCCAGGTTTCGCTGCGGACGTGAGTTCGTTTTATTTTCGAAGTCTTTTTTTTCCGTTCATCTGTCTTTCTGTTTCATTTGTTTCTCCCCCGCCGTGGGTGCAGCAGCTTGCGTGTATGTACATAGTGCTGCGTGATGGTTTGGCAGTGTAGTGTGCTATTGGGGAGAATGCTGAAAGAGTTAATGGGAGGGGGCGGGGCGGGCGGGCGGAGGGCAGCCCTTCCGACGGTGCTGTTGTTCCATGACTTCGACAATGTCGGACCAGCCGCCAACGTTACGTCACGGTACCCGCCCCCCAACGTCTAGACAACCCTCCCGATCCCGGCAGATTGCGCACTACAGCTCGTCGGAAATATCACACTTCCACATTAAAGATCGACCATTTCTGCCGCACGCAATTCTAACTCTGCGGGGGGGGGAGTCATTGTTCCGTGAACGAAGGGCCACACTTGGGTGGGTGGTACATAGGAAGGTAGTGTGCAATTCCTTGTCGCACGAACCCGTCATTTGGCAAGGGTGCGGTTTACGAACGCTAAAATCTAAAACGATGCACCGTTCACTAACGAACCTGTCATTTGGAACGGGCGCGAGTGGCAGTCACTCGATGGATCATCAACGAGTTGAGCGTGTACCTTTTCAGGTGTGGCTCTTCCCGGATATCCGCAGATCCAAATTTTATTGATTCATACACAATCAAGTGACGTATTTCACCCGAAAGGCCCTCCCGCCCCCAATGGGCGGGGGGACCACAATTCAAAGAGAGTTGAGGAGATGTTGCGGCAGGTATGAACGACGTGAATGATCGTTTGCGAAGAGAAAGGCAATATGCCGATACAGATATTGTGGATGAAGAAGGTATGCATGTGAGGAGAATATGGATGACCTGCGCACGTGGCAAGGTCGGGACAGCCCGAAGATGGCGAAGAGAGTCTGTTGAGACAGACGTGGCGCTAGTTTCAGCTTGACCGGGTAGTAGGTGTCGAGCATGGTGTGCACGTAATGGCAGGAAGGAAGGATGGAGAACGTGCAAGAAGTAGATGCTATGATCATGTCCAGAAGACGCACGTGAAGCGCAAGCGAGTTCTATGTCGCACCGCCGAGGACCACTTCCATTGCACACGCAATTATATTGGTACATTCGCAATTTTATTGGTACATATCAGATCTATAGGTGAAGGGGTGAGCCCGCGCTCGTATCAAACGACATCCAATGTTGCATGGAACGAAATTCAATGGAACATTCCTTCCAAACAAACACGGCAGGTTGCCGTTGAAGAGATATAATCTAAAACCTAGCATGCCGATACGCGAGAAGCAGCTGTAGAATCATACCGTAAAGACAAATGAAACGTATACATGTATGAGGATGGCGCAAGAATGAAGACGATGAGCCCCAGAAAAGCACGTGAATGTACGAGATGTAAATCCTGAAGTAACTTTGAAGCACAGGGGATGGTCGGCCAGCACGAAATCGCGAAGGGTCCAACCTATACTCAGGAAGGCATACCAAAAGCTTAATCGCAGACAGTGTGCGATGACGAAGGCGAAAACTCGCGTGTCTGTTGCCGAAGAGACGACAGAAAATGTGAAAGGTGAACGTGGAACACTCATTGAGCACGAACCCAGCATTCCCAGAGCGCAAAGGGTCCAACGTAGGAAGGCATACCGAAAGCCTATACTTTATCGAAGACAGTGTCCGAGAACGGAATGGCGTGGCTGTTGCCGAAGAGACGAAAGAGAAAATATATCGTCCAATGAACATGGAATACTCGGTGCGAGCACGAACCGAGTATTCCAAAATCGCGAAGGGTCCAACCAACACTCAACATGGCATACAGAAAGGTTACTCGCAAAGACAGTATCCGAGGACAAAGGCGAAGCTGCACGCGTGTGAGAAAATGCGTGGCTGTTGCCGACGAGACGATAGCCAATAGGAAATATCAATGCAAAAAGCCCCCGTTCCTGTCACACCTACAGAAAGGAGGACGGGTGGAAGCAGGTGACGCGCTCCACGGAGGAAGCGGAAAGCACAGGAAAGCTGCCAGGCAACGAAGAAACGCACGCGCAACTTACAGACCAAAACAAAAAAAACTACTATTGTGTAGTTTACCAATCAATGGGAAGCAGGCGTCAAGGGCGGAAACGGAATGGAAGCAGAAGGTGGATACTTGTACAGGTAGCAGCGAGTTGAAAACAACGTTGTTCACCACGACGTACCCATCACGATAAATTCTGTCGTGGGGAGTCAAAATAAACATGTCATCTGACCCACGCACTCGGGGAAGACCGACGTACAAATGACCGAAGGATCCAGCGTGAGGTCCAACCAAGTACGGTCAAGCGTTTGTCCTTGGGCACGGTGAACGGTGACGCTAAAACACAAGTGCACGGGGAATTGGACCCTCTTCGCGGCTATTCCTTGCCACGTGGTGAAACTGAAACCAATACGTGAAAGCCAGTGCATGGTTCCGTGGCCGTCCAAGGTTTGAACCTGTAGAACATGTGGCTTAGTCTACTGTCCTACACAACGACCTTCGTACCATTGGTCAGATCGTGCTATGAAGGCAATTGCTGTACACCCGCTGTACTGCTGTTGCTTAGACTAGACCAAATGCATTTGTATGTCCTGACCGCAACCCTTGCTGCTGGTAGACCTCCTCTAGTGTCTCCATCATGGCATGGCGTCCATACATGGTGGGCGCGGTACTCATATATCCGCCAAAGACTCAACCCAGTCACACAACAAACTTATATGCACCAACACTCCACCCAGCTACAGCAGTACACAACGTATTTTACGTACATCTATTTTCCTGTGTGCATATGCATCACCTACCATTTTTGCCACAATGTCGCACACCGTGTGCGCCTGCATGCGTCGTCTTCGTCGGTAGTGAGGTATCGTCGATCGGTGGCGGAGACCGTAATATAACACAGACAGGTTGACGTTGAAACGTTTACTTGTGGTCGATGGCAGGCGTGTGTGTGCATGTGTGTACCCGTCATAGCTTCCCGCGAGAGTATCAGGAACGTTAGAGAGACTGTCAGGAACGTTATCCGGAGACACGAAGTAATCGGGATAACCTTGAACTAGGGTAAGGTGGCCGCCCGCCGTAGGCGGCGGAACGGCCACCCGGATATACGCACGAAGAAGGCCAATGAATGATTTGTGGATGTGAAGCGCGGGAAATAGAAAGGAGGATGCAGGTTATGTCTATTAAAGGAGGATGTGTCAATGATGATACATCCCGCGGCTTTGGTCACGACTGCAATTGAAACGCAGTGACATATGAGTGGCGATGAATGTGTAATCCTCATCAATTAATGAAAAGATCATTGGAAAGTATGCAGGGTGGGCAGGCGGATGAAAGTCTCGGAAAGAGTCATCGGAGACGCCGCACTCTTGTTTCTGCAACGGAGTATTGGTTGTGAGTGTAATGTGCTCCTTGATAAGAGTCAATGGTGAAAAGAGGAAGATGACGGTGTTACCCGGTGTACGAAGAAAGTGACGAAGATGATGTCGTGATAAATTGGAAAAGAAAATCGAAATCGTGCAAGAAAGAATGGGAAAAGCCCTGAAGATGGAAGGGCAAAGAGCAGAAAATCCTCATTGCTATGCAACAGCGAAAGAGTGATAGCATAGCATGTAGATGTATCTGTGATTTCACAGTAGAAAGGGTCATGGTCACACCTGTTGCTATTAGCGAGACGTAGTCGCGATATGTAAGGGGAAACGGATCGCAGTCCCTTCAACAGTCTTCGCAAAACTGTATCGTCGATGTCTTCTGAAGTGTACGCCGGGTCGTGCAGTAGCCACTGTATGTTGCTGTGATCGCTCTCGCGAGTGTTATGATATGTCCTGCGCGTAATAAATAAAAGGATGCACGAACAGATTTCGCAGTTGAAAGAGTCATGTGCACAGCTGTTGCTAACACGCGATACATAAGAGCACGCGATACATAATAGTTTAAGTAACAGCCGGCAGGGCAGTAGAGCACCGTATGACTGATAGCATAGCATGTAGATGTATATGTGATTTCAGCGTAGAAAGGGTCATGGTCACACCTGTTGCTATGAGCGAGTCGTAGTCGCGATATGTAAGGATATACGGATCGCACTCCATACAACAGCCTTCGCAAAAACTGTGGTGGATTAAATAATGAAACAAACAATTTTTAGTGAATTCCAATGTGTAAACGTCTCACCTTCCTTGAACGGACAGGAAATGAGGTCCAAACATCCTCTTTAACTCTCCGTCTTCGACGCACATAGCGCAGAAGTTCGAGGATGAGTTATATTTGCGATCCATTCGACGGAATCTTTGAAATCGTTCCGCGTTCCCTTGATAAAGTGGGACGAGCTCTCTTGGTGGCGGTGGTAGGGGTGTCAAGACCAATTGTCCGTTACTGCAGCAAATGCCACGAGATTCACCTGTAGAAGCACAGGTGGTTGGCGTGTCATTTACTATAGTTGTAAGCTATGTCTTATAAGAACAGACGAGAGTAAATGATCGGCGTGAGGGGAGATTGAATTTGACAGTTTGATGGATATATGCCGGGATATAGCAATGTTGGAAAACTCACCTTTGAACAAGTGAGCACCGCAGTGTTGGCATGGGGAAGCAATATCAACGATGATGTTGGCAGCCCGTTGTGCGGTGTTGATGATGTCGTTCCGAGCATCCAGCGTAAATGCTCTCTGTTCTTCGTTGCACTCTGGACGAAGCAGAGGTAGTTCCCACAACTGAGAGATGGAGGTGGACATGTTAGGACTACGCACGTATGTGACATGTTGCTCTTGAATTTGTCCCCCGCGACTCCTTCCATCACGTGAATTTCTGCGACAATTGAGTGTTTCGTTCCTCCTCGCGCGTCGAAGTCGTTGTTGTTCGTTGCGTCGGTTCTGTTGAGCTCTCGAGTATTGTTGTGTTGACGGCATCTGAAACGGCAGTGGACGTGTGTCGGTGTGCCGCGTATAATTGCGGCGGAAATGTAGATACGTAGATGCGTAGATGCGTAGATGCGTACTGTAGATGCGGGTAAACATAATATGCGGCGAAAATTTGATTGGCGAGCGAGGTTGTCTGCAGAAAATCGGTATATTTGCCCGTATGCGGCAGCGAGCATGGGGCATCTGAATGCTGTAAATCTGCAGTGAGCATGGCCAATCGTAACTACTTGTCATGTTGTGACGACGTTTGATGAATGCATAAAGGGTGGCGATGTTTGTGTTGTGTAATGTCACGTCCATGCGCGTCGATGCATGCAGAACGTGTACGTGGATGTTGGGAAGCACACAGCGGCTGAGGTCTACTTTTGCGAAGGTGTCAATGTCGGTGTCATAATGAGCAAGGCGTCATTCCATTCGTAGGTCTCATAAACTGCACGTGATGAACGCACTTGCGTGGTTTCAAGTCGTGAAATGGAGTATTGGGCGAGAGAGGTCAAAAAATATACGAAAAAAAAAAAATTCTAACCCCGTATGCAGCGAATGCATTCATTAATCAAGATGTAGGACTCATTAGACGAATCGTGATATAATATATATATAATCCGTATTTGTGGAAGCATTCCGGAAATTTCGTGAAAGAGTGGCGAGAGGCAAAAAAGGGTACACGGGGGTATAGCTATATACAGGGTACAAAGCAGAGAGATGGGTTGGCAGAAGCTTTTGGGATCCTTGGGAAGCCGAGGACCTCGAAGGGGAAAGCGTCGCATCGCCAACAAAGGCAGTGCAGCAAAGCAGCAACGAGAGAAAAATGTTCTCTTTTGAGGCTTGATCGGATCTTGTTCTAGACACGTCGGAGTGGTCAACAACGGCGACAACCTGCTGCAGCAGGGTCAGCAAGATCCCCCGCAGCAGCCGCAGCGAGCGAACGAGGCACCACCACCACCGCCACCACCACCGCCTCCCGACGGATCACCGCACGCAGCTGACCATGGCGGTGGAGGAGCAGCAGCAGCGGCGGCGGCGGAGGAGCAGCAGCGGCAGCTCCCCATGGCGGCAGACAGGCAGCAGGGGCGGCAGGAGATCAACAGGCGGCGGGAAACCAACAGGCGGCGGGACACAAGAACGCGCCCCCCGCAGCAAGAAGAGGCCAGAACGCGGGCGGAGCCGCGCCAGCCGGGTTGCGAGGCCAACCTTCCCCCCTCAACCCAGTCCAGATGTTGCTGCACGACGTCTGTACTGCTAATAGAGCAAAGCGAACGACTCGGCAATCTGGAGCTCAGGATGCAGCAGCAGCAGCACCAGAAACAGCAGCACAGCACCCGCAGTACCAGCACCAGAAACAGTATCAGCAGCAGCAACAGCAGCTACGCCTCCTCCCTCCTGGCGGCCTCCAGCATCAAGGCCAGCCCTAGCCCATCGATCTCCCGTTAGTTGGCCAGCTCGCGCTACAGCCCCAGCAAGCGCAAGCTCAGGGCCAAAACATCAACGTTTCGAACCAGGCCCTGAACACCGGGGTCCAGAAAGAGAGGCTTCGCCGAGATACGGGGCCCCATGAAGAGGTGGGGCCAACGCGGCAGAGGAGGGCGGATGAGACCACGGTTGCAGCTTTTGTAGACAGGAGTAGGACCGTGGCGCTAACTGAAGAGCCTCTTCCCGGGTTGGTGGCACCGAACGTGTTCTACGTGTATTGGAGACAAAGACAGAGAAAGACCCAGTGCGGAAACTGGAGAAGACCCCGATAACACGCGAGAGGCAGACCCATCGCACCAGGGAGAAGATCGCAATCGACGCGATAAGAACCGCGCGAGGGAACGATTGGCCACAGACCGGAGAAATCGCCGGTGTGGAAGAAGTCTTGAGTATGGCGGGAAAACTCTGGAACCTGGCTTACGACATAAGGGCGGGGAAATATTTCGTATGGCAACTCTCCGCCTCACCGGCCTACACAACGAGACTAGCAGAGAGTCGAGAGGAAAGCCGTACGTCTCGGGTGGGCGTTCCACGGAGGCCTAGACTTCTGGAGATGGGCGCTGGAAGTTAAACTCGCGGGGAATGGAGAGTCACTTAGCGCGTTACTTTTCAACCACGTCCAACGCACGCCTTTCTTTCCGTCACTACCTATCGGATGCTATTAATAGCTTTGACGCAGTAGGTGGACACTGTCCCGAACTAAAAGTGTTGTGGCGCCGATTGAAACCCGCGTTTACCGCGGAGCTGAAAAGGAAAGCAGAAGCCCAAGAAACCAGCGCAATCACGATAAACACGGTGGAATTTCTTGGAATGATAATTACATGCTGGGTGGTCCAAATGGTCCTGGGAGACAAGCCGACGCAACCCGGACAAGCTATCATGATGAGGGGAGACAATGTGTCGGCGGTATCATCAGTGAACAGATGCGGGGCTCGAGAGACAGGCGAGCGGGACTGCTCATGAGACTTCTTGGTCGTATGGAGATCGAAAACGGATAGTGTCACGTGGCGAAACACATCCCGGGACACGAGAATACCCTCCTCGCGGACGGTCAGAGGACGTAGAAGTCAACGTGAAAAGACTAACGCATGATGATAGCTGGCGAATGCAAGACATCGGAAACACCGGAAGAGAACTAATTGAAATCATAGTGCAAGAGAAACTCCCGAACCAACGAATGGATGGCCTCGCATGAAGCCGCATGGCAAGTGTGTAAAGCGAAGAAGTGATGAGAGAAAAAAGAGAATGCTGAGCGAAAAGAACTAAAAGAAGGTGTCGTGATTCTAGCGTGTTCAAGAACCGGAAGCGAACATGGGACGAGAGCGATGAAGGCGGAAGGCTCCTCGGGATCATGGAGCACGGCCCCCTGAACGCAAGCACGCCAAAGGGATGCCACAGCATGTGGGCCGCGTGGACAGCTGAAAGAGCTAAGGCGAATCTGAGTCAACATGGTTGTACGAGGAGGACGGTGTGGATAGCGCAGTAAGAGAACTGACTGTGTTTATGGCGTCGAGGTGAGCAGTGTACAAAAACAAGATCCAAACGGTGAAGGGGTACCTCGCGGCTATCAAGTACTGCCATTAACTGTACGCAGGCTGGGCGCTGCCCCCGTCGCACTTCAGAGTGGTAGCTGATAGGAGCGCAATAGACAGACTGCATGCGAGGGCAGAGACGAAATAAACCGTCGGTAAGGCAACTGCTCACCGTGCCGATGATTATATTGGGGAGAGCAAGAGCGCAGCCGAATGCTTTCAGACTAGTGACATGGATGGGGATCGCTCTCTCGTATTTCTGGCTGTGTCGAGCGTCTGAGATGTGGGCCTACCACAACGGCTTGGTACACGCCGATTTATGTCTCACGAGAGGGAACCTCGTATTCTTCGAAGGACCGTGTCGGCTAGCGTGGGACGAAAGAAGGCGGGCAGACAGAGAATAAGTGCCATTTTTCGCATCGAAAGCGACCCAACAGAGGCGAGGCGCGGTATTGACGAGAGAGAGAGTGGTGCGGGACGAGCGAGAGGGACAGATGGCTGGGAAGATGGAGACGCTAGAGGTTTTGCTGAATGTGCATGACGGGCACCCACAGTTTGGAAGTAGCGCGCCGCTCATCATGCAGTCGGTCAAGCAGGGACGGTGGGCAGTAGTGTCGAGGTCGGGAGCAACAATAGCGCTGATAGACATGGCGAGAAGAGTAGGAAAAAATCCAACGCACTTACTTCGCGCTGCATCCAGGGAGGATAGGTGGTGCGACGCAACTAGCAAAGCAGGGCGCATCGGTTATTCAGATTCAGAGGGCAGGGAGGTGGAAGTCAGAAGCCATGTATGACGTACATTGGGGAAGGAGGCAAAGGCGCTAATAATGTATCGCGCGCACTAGCGTCTAACTGAAGGGGAGACATAGCGTGGACATGAGCGCCGAATATCTGACTGCGCAATGGGATATGACCTGGGCATAGACGTTGGGTTGGCGCGATAAGTGATACCTAGTGAGTCCGAGAGGAAGACCATGGCTCGGCTCGTAGATTGGATTTTGGTTTTGGTATGTCTGGTGTTCGGCGTTTCTGATTTCTGGTCGCTTTTTCTAATCCAAGTTTCTTGACCAAAACACAAAACGAACGATTCGGTATAACCGTGAATCCGTGGTTTGTGGAAGCTTTCCGGAAATTTCGCGAAAGAGCGGAGGGAGGCAAAAAACGGTACACGGAGGAGGTATACCTACAAGGAAGAGAGAGAGGTTGCCAGAAGCTTTGGGATCCTTGGGAAGCCGAGGACCTCGAAGGGGAAAGGGTCGCGTCGCCCACAGAGGTAGTGCAGCAAAGCAGCAGCGAGAGAACAGAGTTTTCGTTTGGGACTTAATCGAATTTTCCCACCCACCCACCCTGTCGCTCGAGAGAAGAGGAAGGATCAATGGGAATAGAAAAATCTGTCAAGTACCGAATTTGTGCTCCAATTTGTGTTGATTTTTGAGCTTGTTTTCTTGTCAAGGGATATATCTGGGCATGGACGTCGGGTTGGCCCGATAAGTGATACCTATTAGTGAGTCCGAGCGGAAGTCAATGGCTCGGCTCAAAGATTGGATTTTGGTTTTGATTTTTCTTGTGTTCGGCGTTTCTGATTTCATGTCGCTTTTTCAAATCCAAATTTCTTGAGCAAAACACAGACAAACGGAGAACGATCTTGACGTTCGTTCGAAATTGTGGTTTATTGTTTTTCTTTCGAATTGCCTTTTTGCATTAATGTTTTCTC